TTATGAGTATGGTCATTTTGAATTTCTAAAAAGGCATGATAAAAATCCAAGCAATGAATTAGACCAAAATGTCACTACATCATTAGGATGACCTTTTGGTAATTAGGATCAGTCCTGTCTTCAAAAAAGCTAGAAAATTCAGGATGTGTTTTGAGATGTAGCCTTTTGGGAAGAAGTATTCTTTGGTCTTCCTTTGGCATAAGTAACACAAAGCCTAGCAAAAGAACACTGTTTATGCAGGAAGCTTTCTCTGTCACTGTATCAGCTCTAATATGTAGTTCTGGTGCTTTGATATTTGAAGAAGGAAATCCTCTAAATGACTTGTATTTTGGAAGCAATCCACTGAAGCGTATAAATGAAGGAGCAGCATTATTTGATAGACAAATTTGAGCCACCATTTATAATGTCAGACTCCAGTGAGATAAAGGAAAAATGCAAGCCGAGTTCCTAACAGGCACAGCTGTCTTGTAAACTGCTGACGCGTTTGATGACACAGCTTGTACTGTGCTTGTTAAGGAGACAGGAGAAGAGAAAACAGGAATTGAGACATTACCTTTTGAAACAGGAACAGAGATGTTACCTTCTGAGACTTGATAAGCTCAGTTGACACCAGGGTTTGGGTGTATTCTTGATTATCTTTGAGAAAGTTGAGCATGATTTGATGTCTTCCAGAAAACTGCTATCCCAGGAGGTACACTGAAGTGGTTTACACGTGGATATATTTTTTTTAAATTGCAAATTGCAGAAACTGTTCGTCTGAAAAGTGATGTAACAGATTGTCTGTTTGCTGTCTCTTAAACGTGTGTATATCATATAAGGAAATAGGCCATCATGCTTATTTCAAAATTGCATTTTAAAATTCTTTTACTTTCTGGATAAATATAGTTCTGTATGGATAATAAGTTATAAAGTTGAATAACTTACAAATTATTTCCCTTAAACTATTTCTTATTAGAAATAGAGGTGATTTCTACACAAAATGTCTTTTAGGTATTGTTTCTCAAGGAAGAATTCTAAAAAGATAATGCTAATGAAAACGGCCATTGCAAGTTGCAATTTCTGGCATCAGAGAAGAATGTTTTTTACGTCTTTGATCTGGACTAGGAGCTGCTGCTTCACTGAGTGCAGAGAACCTGCACTCGGCCTGTGGCTGGTTATGAGTGCTTACGCACTTCTGAGCACTGCAGCTAATGTCTTCCGTTTACAGACTGCAGCGACTGTATTGCCACACTCTGTCTTTACACCCGAGAGAGGCACCCAGGACATCTGGAAATATGTTCTGTAGTTGAGTTTTGAGACATGCTTCCTTTCTTCCCCACTCCTCTGCACTTTCGTTCTTTCCTTCTCATTCTAGGAAGGTATTACTTCTCCATCAGGAGCAGAATTAATTTTGTCTTTAATTTTGTGTCTCAGATGAGAATGAAGTTTAATTTCCAGCTGAAACATCTTTCATGGAAACTTAAAATGCTAAGGAAATACGTTAATAATTTCAGCCAGAGAAGGAGTTACTGCTTCTATGACCTTGGTATACATTCCTTGCACAACTGTTTGCTGTAGGTCTGCAGTGTGCACAGGGCACAGTGTACCGTCCCATTCATTTATTGATTAGAAATCACCTCTGCCTTCCCGCAGGAGTACTCAATATTTAGCTCAATTAGAATTATGCAGAAATGTCAAAAGCTATTTTTAGAGCCAAGAATTCTCTCTCCAAGACAGGTAAAAGTTAAGGGGGAGACCAATGTGTAGAAATGCAGAAGATGATTTTCATGGGAAATATCAAGTGGCGTGGGAATGGGCGTTTAACCTCGCCAGTGATGCAGGACCTGGCTTGGATTCCCAGCTCTGGCGCTTGCTCGCAGTTTCCTGCTAATGCAGACATAGGGAGGTAACAAGTAATTGGGTTCCACCACCCACAGAGACCAAGATTGAGTTCCTGGTTCCTGCCTTTACCTTGGTCCACTCCTGGTCACTGTGGGCATTTGATGAGTAAACCAGTGGGTTGGGGTGCCTTTGCCTCTTAAATAACAAAAAATTAAGCATGATAGATTATATATTTAAACTCTTTCTCAGCTCAGGGAGCAGCTTATCACTGACTATCCTCTCTTAACAAACCATCCTCATCTTATTATGGCCTGCTTCTTCCAGGCCTGCTTGGTCACTCCTACCCAGAACATGAACTGGATGGCTTTACTCATCTCTTAGACCATTCCTGAGTAGAGTAAAAGCTTTCTAACAATTTTTTAAAAAGATTTATTTATTTCACTTATTTGAAAGGCAGTTAGAGAAAAAGAGATCTTCCACCTGCTGGTTCACTCCCCGTTATTTGTAATAGTAACAGCTGGGGCTGGCTCAGACTGAAGCCAGGATCCAGAAATTCCAACTGTGTATGACACATGGGTAGCAGGGGCCTGGGTACCTTGGTTATTGGCTGCTGCCTTCCCAAGTGCATTAGCAGGGAGCCGTATCAGGAGTGGAGTGGTTGGGACTTGAACCAGCATCTGTTATGGTATGCAGATGTCCCAAGTGGCAGCTTAATCCACTGCACCACAATGCCAGCAGCCCATCGAGTAAAATCTTTATTGATTGCTTTTGTCCTGGCAGTAGGAAGTCTGCAGTCAGTCTTGTTAGCCTGGGTCCTGGGTGGGTTGCACTAGGGTAAGCCGTGACAATTGGGAGGACCCTAAACTGTAAATCACCATATCTACCCCCTTTTTGGGTTCCTTGTGCTGAACTCCAGGCCATGGGTTCACTGATACTCTGCCTTACTTGTCCGCTAGCCAGGGAGCGTACTTGCAGCCGCTTCCTTCCTGGCTGACTTACTCTTTTGAAGGAACAGATAGGTTAGTAAGAACAGCACAACTGCTCATGGAAGAGGGAAGCTCCTGCTGTTTGTTTTCCTTCCAGTGTGCATTCCTCCCTGCAGGGTACCTCCCTGGATGCTAAGTCTAAAAATTAGGCGAGGATAAAATCAATCATAACTGATGCTAGCAATGCCTACTACAGCCCGTGAAGGAAGATTAACTTCCACACAAATTACACCTGAACCTGTTGTGTTTTTTTACAAGCATGAGTTATTTAATGTACAAGATATTCTGCTAGTAGAGTACACTGAAAATTCAATGTATGTTTTCAAAAGTTATCTTAAGGAATGACATTGTAACATTTTAAATGTATGAAGCCCTTGTTAAAAAGGAGGTTTACGGGGTCTGGCATTGTGGCACAGTGTTAAGCTGCCACTTGCAGTGCCAGCATCCAGTATGGGTGCTGGTTCAAGTTCTGGCTGCTACTCTATCAATCCAGCTCCCTCTTAATGCACATGGGAAAGCAGTGGAAGATGGCCCAAGTCCTCGTGTCCTTGCACTCATGTGGGAGGCCTGGATAGAGTTCCAGGCTCCTGACTTAAATCTGGCCCAGCCCCAGCTGTCGTAGCCTTTTGGGGAGTAAAAATTTCTCTCTCTTGGCCCCTCTGAAATGCTTTCAACTAAATAAATAAAATTTTTAAAACTGTTTTAAAGGTAAAGATTTATAGTATCTGCTTGAATTGATCTGTTTTTTATTTTCACATGAATAAAGGAAGAGTGGCTAACATATTAGGACATAATGATATTGGGAGATTTTCCAGTTAAATTTGTCAACGGTTATTTGCCTCTTCAGCATGTTGTTTGGCTGCTCGTTCTTCTGTTGGGATGAGCATCCTGTCACACTTGTGAGAGGGCTTATTTCAGTAAGTTGCGTCCGTTTTTTTATCATTTGGTGCAACTGTGATGCCAACTAGGTCAAAACTATTGATTTTTACTATTAGGCAAACCAGACATTTTATAGAGACCTTCCTCCTTTTATTATTCTGCTAAGTTCTATTCCCTTTCAACCACTTGGTAGGTTCTGTGTATTCCCTGTCATCATGGGTGGTAAGCATCAGGTAGGGGGAACAGTTCAGTTACCAAGACTGTAGAAAAAACATCTAAGAGTTTGCTCTTTTTTTCCCTCTAATGATAATTCTGCAATATCATCTCAAGTGTTGGATTCTGTTGCAGAGGAGATGGTAGAATTGTCAGACGAGAAGAACCTAGGTGAAAAAATAAGCAACAACAACCAGAAAGACATTTTCAGTTTATTTATCTGATTTTAGCTACTGTTTATGGCAATAACCATCTGGTGCTCTTGCCCAGTTTTTGGCTTCCTGTGCCATAAATTTCAGGAATATACCATGAAAGAAAGTAATAATACTGAATTATCCTGCATTAAATGACAGTATACACAATGTTGTTGGAAGATATGAGATTAAAGAGATTATAATGCTAAATATAGTAAGTTAACACTTGAATTTTTAAAAATAAATTTGAAATGCTGAGTGATACATGGGGGGAGTGAGGGAGGGAGGGAGGGAGGGAGAGAGAGAGAGAGAGAGAGAGAGAGAGAGAGAGATCTTCCATCTGCTGCTTCATTCCCTGAATGCCTCCTGCAGCCAGGGCTCTACGCTGGTCTGAAGCCAGGGGTCAGAAACCCCTACCGGGTCTCTCACATGGGTGGCAGGAACTCAAATTCATGGACCATCTGTTGCCTCCCAGGCACCCTAGCAGAATGGTGGATTGGAAGTAGAGTAGTCAGGACATGAACCACATTGATAGGGAATATGGGCATCCTGAGTGGCAACTGGAATATAACCAGACTTCTTCCAAGGCAGTAGAATATTCATAATCCATGTCCAGCTCCATTGCTTTCAATGACAAATTCTTCATAGAAATGCTTTGGATCAATCTGTATTCAGTTGAAAGCAATTCCGGAACATTCAGAACATTGCTCTCAAATCTTTCCTGCCAACAAAGCAGCTCATAGAAAAATGCACTATTGATTTAAACCTAAAAAGTTATTAAGTAGAAGCTGTGATTATGTAAAATAATATATTTTTTAAAAATTAATGCAACAAAATGCTAAATTTTAAGTTATTGAAATAGTATTTCAACCTATGACTTACTGAAACGTAGGCCTTCTTTTGACAGGGGACATGGTGTGGAGATGCCTTACAAGAAGAAAGAAATCCAAGCTTGGAATGAAAGCAGCAGATTCACATGAAGTCCCTATGAAATCTCTGTAAGTACACATGGGAGCTCAAGAGTGTGCTGACTTGCTAGGGTGACTGCTTTTAAAGGGCACACACACAGATGGGGACATGATATGAAATACCAAGGAATCTTTCTAGTAACTGCTCATAGAGAACGGTGGCACACAGCAATGATCTAAAACAGTTACCACCCTGTCCCACTGCTTGTTGTTGTGAGAACTTGACTATCATTGACCTGGATCAATTTATAAGATATCCCATGGGTGGTAAGACAAAGGGGTTAGATGTCCAAGCATGCAATGGATAGGTAACATGATTCCTTACACATCCTTCTGAATTCCATAGTTAACTTCTACAACTGGAAACTTCAAAATAAAAACCACCACCTACCATTTCCTGCCTTAACAAATGATACACAGGGTGTAAGGAAGACTGTCAACCATGCTACCTACCCTGCCCCAGGTAGCTGGCAGTCACCCGAAATCCACAGTCACGGTGAAAGTGACTGATAGGTGGACTGATAATTGCAAAGTGAAATTTTCTGCAAGTGGATGATAAGTGGAAGAACGCAGTTGCTAGAAATTGGCACTTGCTTTTTTTCCTAAGCCCTTTAGTGTGCCTCTCAAGAGATGGCTTATTTTGGACATTTCACAAAAGAACTCTAGCAAGAAAAAAAAACTGTAGAAAGCTTGGAATCAATTTGCTGACCTGAAAGCCAGAACAAAAATTATATTTTCAAAAGAATTGGGACTATATCCATTCACATAATCTTCGATCTTTCTGAATGTGAGTTAGCTGAACCAGTTGTGATTGACAAAAAACATGTAAAATGAAAGACAATCCCAGTGAGCTTGAATATCATGTGTGTCACAAACCCCTCAGTGTGAATGAGAAAAAAAATAGACTTAAAATTTATGAACAGAAAAAATTGTTTCTCTTGCCTTCAAGATAAATGTTAATTCATATTTAAAGACGATGGATCTTATGGAGTTCTAGATTTTTAGCTTCCTTGTTGTGTCTTGAACAGTTGTGTTTTATAGAAGTGGTTAACATCAGTTGCGGATGGCCTAGTAGTTACTGCGTTGTAGTGGATAAAGAAGGTTGCAGGGAAATGCTGACAATTGAGGTAACCCTTAAAGAGAATTCAGGAATTAAATTGGAAAAGAAAAAAAAAATGTAGTGGAGAGGAATGTCAACTTACTTTTTGAGACTTTGTGTATTTCTAAAATGTTTTTGCTTCAATTAATTGTGTTTTGAGTGCAATAAATCACATGAATAGCTCAGATTTGTGGGTGAAAACAACATCTTTGCTTGTTTTCCAAGTAATCAACTGGTATCTTTACTTATCATGGTATCCTATGGTAAGAAGAAAGAGACCAAGAGGTATCTTCTTAAAATTTTCCTGTGCACTTCAGGACATTTGCTCCCTTTCATGACTAAGCTGTTTGAACAGTCTGTTGAACCTTAACTTATCCTATTAACTAAGGAGCCTGAAATCCATTACAAGGAGGGCAGGTCACCTTTGTTAAGTCAAAGAGTTTCATAAATTATTTTCATTACAGATTAATGGGCTGTGAAGATCCAAATCCTTTGACGAGTTGAGCATGTTGTAGTCTGTATACCAAGGTGCCGCTGGGAAATTACAAGTTGTTTTCACGCTTCAGCCAGGGGAATCAATTCAGACTCCAGCAAAGAGCCAGCAGCGTCTTCTGACCAGATGTTTGGTGAGCATCCATGCCGAGCATCATTATTTTATTTTTTATAAGAGCATGAATATTATGCTTATAATACCTACAATACTTGTTATAATCTACCTTTTTTGGCCATATTCCACTTGTCATTGCTTAGTAGGTGTGATAAATGCCTTACACACTTTAATTTAGTACTTTTCAGAACTGTGTGAGGAACATGAGAAAAGTAAGGCTTAAAAGCACACTCCAGAATGTACTAGAAGTAACCCAACAGGTAAGTGCAGAAGTCAGAATTCAAACTTGTACCTCTGTTGTGGCACAGAGGGTTAAGCCTCTGCCTGCAAAACCATGTGTCACTTCCTGTCCTGGCTGTTCCACTTCCTATCCAGCTTCCTGCTAATGTACCTGGAAAAGCAGCAGAAGATCACCCAAATAATTGCCACCTGTCCCCATATGGGAGACCTGATGGAATTCCTGGCTCCTGGCTTCAGCTTGACCATCACCAGCCATGATAGCCATCTGGGGAATGAACCAATGGATGGAGGATCTCTCTTTCTCTCTCTGTGTCTCTCCCCTCCAGTCCCCTCGTTCTGCCTTTGAAGTAAATAAAATATTTAAAGAATTCAAACTAGAGCAGTTTGATCAAAACCTGCATTTTAAATCCCTGGTGCGCCGGCGCCGCCGCTCACTAGGCTAATCCTCCACCTTGCGGCGCCGGCACACCGGGTTCTAGTCCCGGTCAGGGCACAGGATTCTGTCCCAGTTGCCCCTCTTCCAGGCCAGCTCTCTGCTGTGGCCAGGGAGTGCAGTGGAGGATGGCCCAAGTGCTTGGGCCCTGCACCCCATGGGAGACCAGGAGAAGCACCTGGCTCCTGCCATCGGATCAGCGCAGTGCGCGGGCCGCAGCGCGCCAGCTACGGCGGCCATTGGAGGGTGAACCAATGGCAAAGGAAGACCTTTCTCTCTGTCTCTCTCTCTCTCTCATTGTCTACTCTGCCTGTCAAAAAAAAAAAAAAAATCCATGGTGCATCAATTGGATATAGTTATCTTCCCCATGTCACATGGCAAGTACCTTAGCCAAGATGGTTTACTAAACGTGGCAGCTTAATAAACAAAAAATATTTTGGAAATATGAGGGTTGGTTCACAGAATTTATAAGCAGAGCTGAAGGATCTGCAATGGCATAAGATCCATTTCTCTTTTTGTGTTTGTATTATGGTAGATGCTGAAGTTTTACACATACTATTTTATACCTGCAAAAATTCTCCTGATGAGCTGCTGCTATTTCTTTGGACAGCTGTGATAACTAAGACACAGTGAGTGAGCTGACATATCCTAGTGGGTGGTTAATTGATTGCATAGGAAGGACTAGATCATAGCCTTCCAGACATGTATACCATGCTCTCTGAATGCACTTGGGCTCTAAAAAGCCAAACTGTGTCAGAATTTCTATAATTTGTACAGCCTTTATCATTTAAATAATCAGGCAGGCTAATGGAGATATTAATTAATACTTTTTAAAGAGAAAACATGTTTGATATTTGCGATTCTCATATGCCTCAGATTTTCTTTTGAATATTAACATGATTTGAAGCCAAAGAACAACATGTATAATCCATCTACATCTCATTCGAGAGCTATATGCTAGTGGCAAATAAAAGTTTATCTTCAGTAAAATGGATTTTATTAACTCTTAGAAAAGCATTTTAATGAAAGCCTTTTTTAACATAATTTGGAACACTCATGTTTGGTCTTTAGCAGATATACAAGAAAGGCCCTTTGGATTAAAAAAAATACTCAGTATTCTTTCCTGAAATGTTGTGTAGCTATGCTAAAGGTGGAGCTATTGATTAATTTCTGTGATAGAGAACTTTTGTCTTTTACTATGCAAATAATTTCAGACACACAGCTTTCCAAATTGGTTGTGTTATCCACAAGAGGGTGTCATAACATTAGCAACCAACGAGTTGAGCTTGCAAGTGGAATCAACTTGGCAAGTCGAGTTGAAAATGCCAAGTGCCCATGCATAAAGATAATTACTCCTCAACCTGTGGTTTTGCACAAAATATACTAGGGAAAATGTATTGTTCAACTCAATTTGATTAACTTTCTTTGTTGCAGATTTGTATTTATTTATGTTAATACTACAGTGGAATACTCGGTTCATTAAGTTCTAATTTAGCTAAAATAGAGAGGAAAACTGTTTTCCTTGCAAATCACAACAGATTTTCAAGAGGCACAATAGCTGAACTTTTTACGATGTACCTTTTATGGTGTGTCAGCAGAAGCACACTTCAGAACATAAAGCTTTTATCCTGTTTTAAAAGCCTCTATGATAGTTTGATGTTGAAATCAGAGATGGTGATAGCTAGCTAATCCTGCACCTAACTACATTTCAGATCTGCTTGTGGGAAGGTGTGTGTGTGTGTAGTTTAATACTACATTGATTTCTTCTGTCAAAAACCAATATTTAGTCCCAATACCCTGAGACATCTCTGGCTGTAACTCTCATTACCACTGACTTTTAAACACATGTGGAGACTTCGTAATATCCGTTGTAGAGAGAGACTGGATGCATTATGTTGCCCTTAAGAGAGGCTGAACAACACAACAACAAAAGCAACGTATGATGTTCAGCAGAACAGTCACAACTTACAGCACCCTTTGAACACTAACTTATACGAAAGCTAGGATTTCCCTGAATTGAAAATAGTACCACATATACTAAAACTGGAATGATACAGAGAAGATCAGCATGGTCCCTGTGCAAAAATGACATGCAAATTCGTGAAGTGTTCCATTAAAAAAAAGTGTTTGTTATCTCCACTTCTACCAGATCAAGGGTTACTTGAAAGTTTGCTTTTTGTTGCCTTGTTAATTTGGTGGGGGAACAAGTAGCACTTTTATTTTTTTGTGATAGTATTTCTATTTATTTTATTTGACACATATTGTGCATAGGACATGATTTTTGATAGCCATGCACACACACACATATACACATGCATTGTGAAATAGCTAAATCAAACTAATTAACATATCCATTATCTCAAATACCTCTCGTTTTCTGATGTGAGAGCATTTCACAATCTTCTCTCTTGGCAATTTTCACATGTACAGTACATTATTACCTATAGTCACTATGTTGTACAATAATTCTCTTGAACTTAATTCTCCTAAACTGAAACTTTTTGCCCTTTGACTGATGTCACTCAGTGGATTGTTTTCTTTGCTGTTCAAAGCAGACAAAAATTGTTTGAAGTAATCGCCCTTTTTCTCTTTTTGCTTTTGTGTTTTGGGGTCATATCCCCCTCAAAAAATCATTACTAAAAGTGTTACAGGGAGTTTTTGATACCTTCTATATTTTCATTTTAAAACAGAAAATTTATATAAAATCATATTACTGTGTCAGAGGTCAAGAAAGATATATATCAAATTGCAATATATAAAAACCTTTAATAAGTTATATGCATTAGTAGCACACATGTTAATTCTATAGCGTTTTGGAAATAAATCTGGTAAAATCTGCTAAAGTAAACATATACATATTATCAAAACGTGTGTCATTTTCAGAAATTATACTACAGAAATAAAACTAGCATTCTATAGGAGGCTTATACAATGATATTTCCTCCACTATATATATAACTAGACAATTAAAATTCTATTAGTGAGGTGAGAATCCATCAAATAAAACACATGATTGAGTAGCTGTGGGGCCACGTCATGGTACGTTGTTCAGCCAGTGAGAGTGAGCTAAATCTACAATGCTGTACACATTGTCCTGAGCAAATTCACACTTTGCATTGTTGAAAGGTAAAAGTAAGGAATTTATAATAAGATCCCCTTTTACAAATAGTAGAAAAATCTTTTCTGTTTACAATACATATGAACCTGCATATGCCTATATGTTTTTGTATGATTAAGTTGTCGTGGAAGAATACATGTTAATTAAGAAGGGATCTTTGCCGAAGACTTTCACAGCCACATTCCTCAAAAGCCAGATTCTGAATAGATACTGTCATCGGAGCAGTTTTAGGGAGCACATGACTTGGCCTTAGCGTCAGCCATGGAAGGGAGATGAAAGGAGGTGGATTAGGCTGAGGGAGAGGCTGGTCAGAATAAAGGTCTCAGTCATCCCCAGGAGGACCTCTGAAGCTAAAGGATCCCCGCATTGTCATTCCACACTGGAGTAACGGGAGTGTTGCACCCTGTGTTCTCTGCATGCCCTGTTTCTCCCAACTGCACGTTAACTGGTCATTGCTTGAGGACTGCCCCCAGGAAGGAAGTGTGACGGTGTTGTCTGCAGCCCTCTGCAGCAGAGGGGGATCCCGAGACGGGGGGATCCAACAGTCAGCTACCTTCCCAGGAAATGAATGAATAAGCTCTTTAGTCCTGAGAGGAGTGAGGAAATCTACTTGGCACACCATAACAGTCCCTGAAGAACTGGGTGAAGAATTATGTGCTGGAAATGGGGGAAGAGAGGATGAGATAGTCAAATGAAAAAAAGTCACAAGCGATAGAATAAAAGCATTGAACAAGGTGGCTAATATGCATCAATACACAAGTGCCGGGAGAATAGCAATGCTATGAAAAATCATAAAATTATACATGGACAAATCTCTTTGATAATTAATGTGCACATAATCTCAAATACTTGCCATTTCATAACCCAGTTTTCTGGGTCATCCTTACTTTTTAAGGTGCCACCTTTTCTTTTGCAATACCAACACAAACAGAAGTGTTCAGTAAGAGCTGAAAAGTAAGACTAAATATTCTTTTGAAAGTAATAAATGGCAGATGCAGGAAGTACATTATTCCATACACTTTGTATTATTTTGGCTATGGTAACTGCATTTACACTGAGATGCTGTATTTGAAGGAAACATGTCTTGGGTACGCAGATAAGCCTGTAACACGCCATGCTTGAATGTACAATAAGAATGGCTCTGGATTTCTGTAGCTAGACTATGCATACAGCTTTGTAGTTTGATTCACTTATTTAATAGCTATCATATGCCAAGTAATTTATTAGT